TCGCAGCATGATAATCCTCTCACAGTTCAGTTTTCAGGTCCTCCTACTTATGCAGCTGCTGCGGCCAACAGCAATTAGACTGAATCGCCGGGGTGTTCCAGGGAGATGTGGAAACCTCTGCCTCTCGACCTGTTTGGAGTTCCAGCTCATCAGGGCACACGGGGACAGACAAGTAAGGGGGAGGGGTCAACTCAAATGCCGCCACAGATATCCATGGAGGGGTTCGATGGATCAGGGAAATGCTGTCACTGAGCTATTGACGATGATATAGACTGCAGCCGAGCAGGCAGCGCTCCAGTGAAGCTGACCAGATGTTAGAGTGCTGTTTTCAACAGGGGGTTTCTCCTCTGCAAGGATTTCCTTCAGGATCTCTCGCTCAAATTAAGCCATTATCAATCATGGTGGGGAAATACTGAGGAGAAAACCAAACTTTAATAAAAACACTGAGGGGAAAGTAAAAGGGAAACTGAAAGAATGAGAGCAAATTAAACCATACACAACGTTGTACAGGACACGCGTTTTACAATGATCAAGAATCAACCTTCAAGTTCAGCTACTGTCAATCCACATTCTCCTACAGGATGCTATGGTATAAATATTACAGTGTCATAACTATAATCCAACGTGGACCTCATTGACCTAAAATCATGTGTTTAACCTTGTTAATGTCCATATGATGTTTTTATATAATACAACACATATGATGAGTGGGGACAGGGGGCGGGGCTAAATAAACCTGAAACCTTGTCAGTACAGAGAGAGAGTTAGCATTAGCACAACCACTAACACTGTGTCAGCCACTGCCAGTTACAAGCTAACAAACACCATAAACAAATAAAAGATGCTAACTGTGCTAACCGCTCTGATCCGTCTGCTAGTCTCTGGTTCTGGTCTCAGACTCCTCCTCTGAGTCTGGGTCTGACTGAGGCTCAAACATGTGGCTGAGTCTCTCTGATGTTTCCTCCTCTAACCATCTTGATGCTCTCTGCTCTTTCACCTGTCCACCTGGAGCAAGCAGGTGGTGGGCGGGGCTCAAGGCCTGATCCAGGTTTCTCAACCAGGAAGTAAGAGGAGATGAGCTTCAGACCCAGTTTTTTATGTGTGAAAACCATGTTCAACTAAATGTTTTTGCAGAGTTTAAAACATGTCATGAGAGAAGGCTTTTTTTTTTTTTTAAAGATCAAGGAGTTAAGCCTGTTCTTATAGACAATAACTGACACCTGAGACGTCCACCGACAGTAAACCGGAAAAAAACGGAGGTGAATAAAGGACAGCAGGGCCTGATTTCCCAAATGGAGCAACTGCACGACTTATCATAGGCAGCATCTTGTGGGCAGGCCGGGGCAAATGAAAGTAAGGTGTGATTGAGTCGGGTTCAGATTACAGGCTGATGTCCGCAGCACCGAGATCGCACAGTAATCTCTTATGGCTGATTGGCTACAGCTACAAGTGACAACTGAAGTGATGCTATCTTGGGTTTTTCTACCAAGGCGGCATCGAGGCAGGAAGCAGGAGGGGCCGGCGGGCGTGATTGAGCAAAGCTGACATGCAACTGTTTCTGTTTTCAGATGCTGTGACTCTGACTGAGGATCAGAAGGCTGTGTGTGTTTGTGTGTGTGTGTGTGTGTGTGCGTGTGTGTGTGTGTGTGTGTGTGTGTGTGTGTGGGGAAACAGGGATTTCCTTCAGCGTGAGTCACGGGTAGCAACAACAACACACTCCGAAACATGAATACGACACAAAAACACATGTCACTGCCTCTTCCTCTCGGTTTTTCTCTCACACACTCACACCAGTGTTTCATCACATTCTCATTTGCCAGCAGAGTGGAAACATCACTCAGACCGTCCGACACTAAAACACAAACCAAAACAAATGAAACTTTTAGTTTGTTGGCAGCATCTTCAGGCAGGGTGACCCATCCTGTCTGTAATTGCAGGGGAAACTCTGACACACACACACACACACACACACACTTGTAAGCACAGGATACATGCAAACACACACACACTTGTAAGCACAGGATACATGCAAACACACACACTCTTGGGAATATCTGCATCTGTCAATGGCCACATGTTGTGTGAAGGTTATTTTGTGAGAGCGCTTAAATTGGAAAATTTGCAGGAAAATTGTCCATTGGTAAAAATTAAATGCTTAAGCTCTTTATGGCAACAGAATCCACCACTGTGGATTTATGAGCTTGATCGTTAAAGTGTTTCGCAGAGCTCTGCTTTGGAATTAGTAAAATAACAATAAAAACATATTAAATTTCCAAATTCTATCAGTTCTGCAGCAGGATGAGAAAACAGATCTCAGCTGCATGATTTTTAAATAATGCAAATTAGTAGTTTTGCCTCTTGTATATTTCTTAGCTTATTACACTGTGTCTTATAATACCAATGACACCTTTTCACCCCTGAGATTAATGACGTCTACTGTATCTATTTACCCGTCTATTTATACAGAGAGCAGCTGTAAAGACGACCCATGACGATCCACAGGGAGCCCACAGCTCTCAGAGTTAATGAACAGAGTGCTGGTGGCACAGAGGCAGCTTGGATAGAGAGGTGGAAGGATGGAGGGAAGTAAAAGGAGGGAGGGGGCAGGAGGGGGGGTAGGGGGGGGGCAGTGTTGTGGAAGCCTGGCTTAAGGGTTGTTTCCATGGTAGGATTGCCCAGGAATCTGATGCTGGTGCCAGACGCGGGGAAACCCTCATCAAAAACAAGGGAGCACACCCATCAACACCGGTCCAGAGCTGCACATGGTCCTAAACACCGTCAGATTCAGGATCAGTCACAGCCAGATCTGTTGCTGACCCAAACGCTCCTGACCTTTCATGAAGCTCTATGTTTTCCTTTCTCCAAAACAAGTGGAACAATTCACTCTCACGTCTCTCAGATCTGAGATTTAGTCAATCAAATGTTTCTTAGAGGTAGAAATAATCCCATTGGTTGGGTTAAACCTCAGGGGGAGGGGTTAAAACCTGCATCTATTGTGGCTGAGTCACGCAGTATTTATGAAAAAGACCAAGTATAAGTTATAGTTTGATACTTAACTTACAGTTCGCTTACTAGCTTTTTCTGGAGCTTTCAACAACAGATGTGAAGTTTCATCAGCTGTGGCTGCACTTTGATTGGATCTGATTATTAATATATGGTTTATTTTTTTATTTTGAAATGAGGATAGTATGTGATGTGATATTTTTGTCAGGATAAAATGTACAGATATATTTCCAATTTACTAATATCCACTGGAATTTAGTAATAAAGGAAATGAATTGTATATTTTTAATAATCAAATGTGTAATTATTCATATGTAGTGATTTGAGGAGCTGCTTCTGCTCACTTATCCTGTAAGACTCAGTCCACACAGAAAAAACGAATTAATTAATGATTCCTTATGTCATTCACCACCTAAAGTTCATTAATATATATACATATATCTCTATATGTGCTTGGTAAAACTACCAAAAAGTAGTTTTGCATTACATTGAAATATTTACACATTAAAATAGCAAGTTAACTGTAGTTGCCATTTTTAAATTGGAACAACTTCATTATGTGAAGTAAATATAACTCAATTTTAAGTAAACTTAACAAGTGGATTTAAAGTCAATGTGACTTAAAACTAATAGTTATATTTACTTCGTTTTTTAAGGCAATCGGTTTCTTAGATTTTTTAAAGTGAGATCAACTTGTCACATTTTACAGTGCTTAATGAAAATGGCACAAAACTATTCTAACCGATCATTTTTGGCCCTGAGAGCTCGACGCACTGCAACTTAAGAAAACACATGCAACACATGCAAACAGACAAAACGCTGTTGCAAGTATTTGCAGCATGTTTGTGTACTTGTTGTAATTGTGTGTATTGGCAGCTCATGTGTAGTCAAACTGATGAAGATGTTTTTGTGTGAAGTTGTTTGTGTTTCGTGTGTTTGCATGTGTTATCTTAAGTTGCAGTGTGTTGAGCTCTCTGGGGCCAGCGTACTTAAGCCTATCAAGTTAAGATAGCGAGTCTACAGATCCTCCAAGTTTTAGAACATTAGAAGAACATAGAACACAGGAATAGAGGATGTTATTGTTTTATTTCTGTTTGAGCTGGAGCTCCATGTGCAGAGCTTTAATTCAGCCCGTGGTGTTTTTTTTCTGCCTCACGTCGGAAGAGATCAGCGTTAATCAAAGAGGTCAGGGTGAGGGGAACAAGGCCTGCACTCACACAATCACTTCCTGTTTTGATAAACAATCTCACTCCTCCATTGTGCGTTGCTGGAGCGGGGTGGGGGGCTGCTGCCTGTGTGCCCCGGCAGCCTTGAATTCTTCCTTTCACAGGTGGAACAATGAGAAAGGCTTCCCTCTCTTTATGAATGAGTCACCGCAGCTGATAGGATCACACGTGTTTACAGCGCTCGCCCTCGGCCTCACGTTGCTTCACTAAAGCTAATCAAGGAAATTACTGTTTGTAAACGTCCTTGTATCAACATCTGGGAGGAGCAGCAGCCCCCCCCCCCCCCCCCCCAAAAAAAAAAAAAAAAGAAAAAAGAAAAAGAAAAAACCAAAACAGCTTCAAGTTAGAATAAGAGAGAAACAAACACTGAGGCATGGCACACACACACAACTGCGCATGCATCCACACCACGTGCACAGCCAACCCACACACACGCACGCACACACACATACACACAACACACACACACACACACACAACACATGCTGCATTTGTGATCCATTCCTCTGCTGAACAGGCAATGGAAACTTCTGCAAATGTAAATCTGCTGGGTTAAAAATACAGCGCATTAATGTGCACCACATGTGGCACTCTGGCAGGACGGAGGATATTTTGACGGCGGGGGGAGAGGAGGGAGGGAGCAGTCTTGGGGTTTCTCCAACAACAGAGAGAGGGACACACATACACACATACACACAGACACACTCACACACACACACACACACATATACACAAAGCTGCACTATTACTCCAAATCTCCTCCTCTTTTACCTTGAGCCTTTTCCACGAACACCACCTTGGAGTCGTGCTGGAAGTTGTGTCCATCGAGGAGCATCCTCTCCCCTCCGGGGGCGGGACAAGTCTCCAAGCTCTGCTTATCCACCAGCGGCAGCTCCTGGGCCGATCTCTGGGCTGTGGGAGGGAGAAGAGAAACCGGACTCATCGCTCGGCTAATACACACCCACTCCCCATGCAGACCTGAGCATCCAGACCGAGGCTGAATCACTACCTAGACAGCTTTCGCAGAGCCGTCGGCACAGCTGTGGACCTCTGCCTCCTCATGTTAGAGTTATGGGAGAGGCTTCACGTTGTGTTTATTTGTGTTTTCCTCAAATCAGGGTGGAAGTTTTGTCTCAAATATTTGGTTTTAGCGAATCTTTCTCCTCCCTGTCTCTCTTCCCTTTTGGCCTGCTCCTCTCATTCCTCACTCACTCTCAGTTTTTCTGAAATGATCTATTATTGCTGTGACATATTTGCAAACTCTTTCTGTCTTGGCTGGGTCTCTCTTGTGAAAGATATCTGTAATTTCATCGCGATTGACCGGGACACATAAACAGAGGTTCAATAAAACCTGAATATTTCTCTCATGTGAGGACCATCTTCTTGTAATTCGATGCTGCTGCATTCTGATTCTGAACAAACTCTAATTCTCCGTCTTTGGAAACCATCAATCTTTCCCATATCTCTGTGTTGCTCTGCCTCTGTCTGTCGTTCTGCCTCGCTCACACACAGTGAATTTTGGTCAAAAACAATTGCTTTGTGGCAGTTGTTCAGAAACTAACAATGGTCTATTTCAAGGGGCTGAGATCATGGTTTAACTACTGTCTTTCATTTACCTCATAAGACTTAATCTCTATGGCAGCTCTCAGTGCCAGAACCACATGAAGTGGGTGATCTGCCTGAGTTTATCCCGGTCCAGTGGAAGGTCAGCTCCAGTGCAGTGCACAGAGTCAATGGAGTTTATCGAGCAAGGACTAAATGGCCTTTACACAGACTAATACTATCAAGTTAAAATCTAGCTGCACAAGGTCCACAACAGCTGTACTTATAGAGCTGAAGCAAATAATTCTCATCTCTGTCCATAAACAAAGGCTGAATCAAACTGGATAACGATGACCTGGATGACTGGGAATCTTCACAGACATCTATACTTAAATTTAAAGCTTATTTTGTTATTAATAAATTGTTAAGTCAAAAAAAAAAAAAAAAAAAAAATGATATCTTGGGACTGTTTGTCACAAAATGCGGCAGTGTTTATTTTGAATCATAAAAAAACTGCGAAGAGCGGCAAATCCTCACATTTGAGAGCCAGGAACCAGCTGCTGTTTTGGTGGTTTTATTTGAAAAATTAATTGATTGTCAAAGTTCTTTCCCAATCGATAGATCTTGTTTGTTTTGTGATCTTTTGAAATGGAGCAACTTCTCCCTACAACAACTCAGCTGAGAAGGAAAAGCTGTCTCCTATTTTACAAGAAAAAGAGTAGGAGTGTACAGCTACGCTAGCAGTTCTGTGAAGCTGTAGGTTTACAGTAGGCACAGTGGCGGCGGTGGAAACATGTTAATGTCAAGGAGGTATAATGTTCACTATATTTGCCATCTTAATTTAGCATGTTTACATGCTAACATTCATTAACCCTCTGGAATCATCTTCCTCTAAACATAAAAAATGTCACCTCAGTCGACAGTTTTAAGAAGCTGCTAAAAACTCAGCTGTTTCAGATGCACTTTACCAGATGATGCACTTTATGTAATATGTGATTGCCCTCTGTGTGACTTTTATTGTTTGTATTATTTTTATTTTATTGTTTTTATATTATCTCATGTTTTTTATGTATTTCTTGAATGTTTTCACTGTTTTTACTTCCTAGCGTGCTCTATAATTAAAGTGTTATGTACTCAATTAGCACCACAACAACCGCAACACAAACTAAGTTCAGGCTGATGTGAATGTCATTAGTTAAGAAAGTGTTGGTCAAAAAACAACCAAAAAAACAAAAATTGATGATGGCACTAAAGTAAAAGTCAGGAGATCATCAGTGTTGTTAGGATTCTTCCTCTGGGGAATATGAATTTCATAGCAATCCATCAATTAGAGAGGCTCCCACCTCCATGTTGGGAGTCAGTAAGGCCACGCATGCAGCAATTTAAGCACTTTTTATGAGGCATTCTGTGACTGAGGAGTTTAGGCTCGATCAGATGTACTCACAGCACTCAATGGGATTGGATGCCACTTGCAGGGACACCGTTCGGCCTGTGGCCTGGTTGATGTGAATTCTGAAAACCATCCGCACTCGTGTGTTCTTGCGTCCGATGTCCGTCTCCCCCTTCCTCAGCTCGATGTCTGAGTTACGCAGCTTCAGGATCCCGGCGCAGTCGATTCTATCACCAGAGAAACGAGATGAAGAATCTGAGTCACATTATCACGAGCGTTCATGACATATATATACGCTCTCACAGTTAATCAGGCGGTGATTTATACGACACTGCAGCTAAATCAAGAGCGATTTTCTCTCTGGACTCCATCAACACAGTCCTGAAGGAGGCTGCAGTCATGTCAGGAGGAGATTAACACCAGCACCCCCAACAGAACCTCCACACCTCAGTGCATCTTCTCTGGGGCAGAATTCAAACTGGGAAGGTTCATTACATCATGAATATCTTTGTTATGATCCATAAGAGATGGTTCCTAAAATACTCTCCCCCTTCAACAAATCTTACAACCCAGGTAATAATTTTTTACAGTGTCAAAGTCTTCATCGGACACTTAATAAATGCCCCCCCCCCCCTCTGTCTGCACTGCTCTCATGTTAACTTTTTAATGCTTAAATACCTCGAGCCTCTCCAAACACTTTCTGGCTTTTCCATCTCCGTGCTACTTGATGCCACATTCCTCAAAGCCTAGTTAATGTCAACTTTTACACACATTTGAACACTCCCTAACATTCTTCCCGCCAGACACCAGGGTCTGCTCCACTGGCGAAGTAATCAGGTGTTGATGCTAAGGACCCCAGCTGTTCAGCTCTCCGCCTACGCACACGGGCTGAGTGCAAAACCACAAACTGAGGCGTCCGTGCAGCGCCTGAGAAAACGTTTTAAGAGAGAGGGTGATACCAGAGAGAGGGGCAGTGCTATCACTGAATTTATTAACAGTTAATTGGAGTCATACCAAGTCAAATGTGGCTTCAACTGATGTTGATTAATGATTTAATTTAAGACGTGTCCTCCTAAATCATCATGAGTAACTACTTCAGAAATATAATAACGCCTGTATTCTATACCACATAATACAACATCTATATGTCACAGTGGAGTGCACGACAAAACGTATAAATCTTCCACAAATCCCTGGTCTAAACTTAAGCACTGTGAGGCGTGTCCTCTGTGAGAAAAGAGAAACAGTATCCCGAGGTGAAGCAGTTGTATAAGGGGGAGCTTATGTGTTACATCCATTAAAAGGCAGAGAAAGTGCTGATGCAAGCAGGCGGCTGCTGCCTGCAGCTCACACACAAACCCCAGGTCCCTGTTAGCAGCTTTGAGCTTCCCCAGTAATCTGATCTCTGAGGCTTATAAAATGGGAAAGCCACTCGTCTGAGCACAGAGGGCAACGCTTTCAAAACCCAAACACTGCAGGAGGCAGCCACGCTCACAGACATACTGCGGGGTCCAGAAGTAAAGTGGTCTCAGATTTTTGGACGCGATTACACACGGACACATCAGACAAGTAAACTTCATATCTCCAGATTATTATCTTTTTTTAGTACAGCGGCAGTCTGACAGGACCTGAGAGGGTTTCATTTAAGGGGTGTGAACTTTCCCCTCAGGGAAGAAACTCTTAAATTTGAGTTTAGATGTTTTCAGATGATATCTGTGATGTACGTGTAGCTGGTGTTTACTAGCTGTAACAGACGTACTGTAGCTCACCAGATGTTCATGTAGTCATATGAAGAACCACAGTTATTTTTAAAACTTTTGGGGTTAGTTCAAATCAAGTCTTGAGTTTTTTGAAACCCTTAAGCACAAGGCAAGACAGATTTATTTGTATAGCACATTATCATACACAGAGATCATTCAATGTGCTTAACAGAAATAAAGAAGCATAGAACTAGAAGTAAAGTACAATAACAAAACAGTTTAAAAAATATATTATAGATAGATATTATATTATTAGATAATATCTCAGTTTGTCTGAGCCACAAATTCTGTGTAAATAGTGATTTCTACATGATAGATACATGATAGTCATGATAGAGACTTGACTTGAGCTGAAATATTAAATATTCAAGTCTCAAGTTTTGACCTGGTAAAATCACAGAAAAAAAAATCGGACTGATCTAACATATTTATCTATGAGGCTGTGGTTTGACTTGGACTTTTAGAGGAACTATCTGTAGGTTTTTGCTATCGCTACATAGCTAATGTTAGCATTAGCAGCTGCTCAGCATCAAACTTCATTCCTGCTGTCTCCAGAGGTAGAGAGCAACCCTTTTGTTTTGCTTCTATTTATACACTTCTTTTATTGTGCTGAAGTTAGCATGCTAACTAGCTAGCCCTGGTTGGCACATCTCGTCACTTTCCGATACTGAGTCACTGTAGCGTCCAGTCTGCCCTGAGGAAGTAGCTGCTCAAAGGACATATTATAACCTTGTGTATTGTAAATTCAACAATGATTGAAGCTCTCTGCAAACAACAATCACCACCACCTGCTCCCTGCTCTCATGAAATCATGTTCAGTGGCAGAGAAAACTTACAAATAGCCTTTATAACTTGACCTGGACCTGTTGTATGACTTGAGATTTCACTTAGAGTCAAGGGTTCAACAAAAGTTAACTTGTTTCAAATGACTTGAGACTTGATGTGGACTTTGAATGTCATTTTTTAACCAGATTTAGCCAATTAAGTTAAAGTTCAGGTCTCGAGTCATTTAGGAAAAGTCCATGTCAATTCTTGAATGAATAAAAACTTAAAACAAGTGTTAAATTACTTGAAACTTGACTTGGTCCCAAAAAATAAAACACTTTAAACTAGATTAGATCAGTTTCAACCTACAAACATCATCAGATCACACCTCTCCGCCTCAGTTACTCACATGGCCCTCATGTTGTTCTCTGGCAGCAGTGGGATCTCCAGCACCTTGGTGTTGTTGTGCAGAGCCTCGTGGCTCGGGGTGGACACTGTCTTCCCGGTGATGCGGTGGACCTGGTAGAAGGCGTGGGGCCTGAGCAGCCGGTCATCAGCCGTGCCGATGAACAGCTGAAGGGTGAGAGGCTCGCTCTCCATGTAGCCGTGGAGCTACGAGAGAGAAAAGACGCAGTTGTGGTTTAGCCCTGAGACAGCATCCACTTGCACTCTATCAAAAACAAACGCAGGTCTTTCAGAGGTCACGATCTCAGCGTGACGGTTTTCAAACAAAGTGCCCATTTAGGATCTTGTAATCACCCCCTCCATCTTCTTTAATTTACTACCAGTGACTTGCATACACTTCCTCCATCAGTTCATCTGAGGCCTGCCAAGATGTTGATCCTACAGTAGCTGGATCTCAGGGGCAGCTGCTGCCAGAGAGCAGTAAAACCACCTACGGCGAGCGGCGCTGTGATTTGCGAGCCCCGTGCTCGCCTTGTGACAAGACTGAGCTAGTGTTTCAGAGAAGTCAAGGTCATGTCAGTCCCGCTGTGCCCGGGCCAATCCGGGTCAAGAAAAACTCTCAGCAGTGACCCAGCTCTGATTATTATCAGTAAAATGATCCTGAGATGGAGACGGTACAGAAGTGCTGCTCGCTGTAGCTGCCGGGTTCGACCCGGAGCTGCTAAACTACTCCCAGACCTCCATAGGTGTTGCTTGACAGGAGGCCTCCTGCCAGGATGACCTCAACCACCCAGACTGCAGAGTGCAGGCATGAAGCCCAAAGCCGCAGCTGAAATATGAGAACAGCAGCTACTACTGACACACTGTGTGCAAGTTATGTATGTTATCCATACAGTGTGATGAGGGAGGAACTGGAGCAGAATACTTGGCATTTTCAAGTCAAAACAATTGAAAAAAACACAGGAAGACAATAAGATAAAAGAGGCCCTGATGTGGGAATATACCAAATATAATGTAGAGATTAAATGGACAAATTGTACATATTTAATTTTTTTTTTTTTTGAGAGGTTAAAGCTGCGATCTATAATTTCCTTCTGTTTAAACTACAGCAAAGATGGAGGAGCATCTGCTGTCGCATTTGTGAAGCTTTTCCAACTCGTGTAAGAACTTACAGTTTAAATCTGAACCAAAATCTATGTTTTTACTGCACATATAATATTTGATCACATTGTCTCTGTCAACCAGAAAAGTTTGCAGTGATGCGGAAGCATTTTCATTTTCAAAAAAACCATATACGTGTCAGTGTTCACTGCACACCAGTAAAGATTGACACAATAATGATACATTAAATTAGAAAAAAAAAGTTAATGTTCAGCTTTGAATTTCAAGTTATTGCCTTTTCCCTAAATCCTTCCCTTGATCATTCAATAAACCACAAAATGGACTTGGTCCTGTTTGACTCAACGGTTGAAAATCTTTCCATCCTTTTCAATAATGTTGCGGCACTTCAAACGCCTCCAATTATCAGCTCTGAATTAGACTGTTGGTCAGTCAGGGTCAAGTATTAGGACTGTTTTCTCTGTGCAGAGTTAATATTCAAATACATTCAATAATAACTGCAAAACAACATGAGAAACAGTATTTCATCTCGAGCCTTAGCACACCTTTAAAGGACCAATGTGTAGGATTTAGGAGCATCTATTGGCAGAAATTCATCAGTCTACAATCACCTGAAATTAAGAATCGTTGTGTTTTCATTGGCTTAGAATGAGCGCTTCTACATGAGGAGTGGGTTCTCTTTGATGTTGCACCACAATGTTTCAACAGTAGCCCAGAAACCAAAGCTGGGTCCACAGAAGACCTTTTGCACTTTTACATTACCCGAGGACCACCATAGGTGCTCCTACATGCCTGGAAAGGGAGGGGTGAGGGGAGGGGTATTGAGTTGGTTGCAATCAGCAACCAACAGGATTTAGTAGATGCTCGTAAATCCTGCAGACTGGTCCTTTAAAGAACTGAAGAGTAAAAACTGAGTAGATCCCCAGACCCTGTTGTGTAGTAGAGGGGACACTGAACCTCGTCTTATCATGAGCCTCTGCATGAGAGAGTCAGTTGAAACGATCAGAGGGGAAATGTTGAAATGAAGGCGAAAGAGTTTTCACTTACATAAGAAGAGCACTGGAGGCGAGGAGCACCCACAACGAGAGAGAAAGGCTCCGACCGAGAGGCACAACATGTGATTTGGAGGAGGATCCCTGTCAGGGTTAAGTGCCTGCAACAGCCCTGTATATTTGTGTAAGGAAATGGGTCGCTGCCAAGCAATGCTGTTTATTTGGGCAGCAGAAAAGGAGCGCGATGAAGTGAGGAAGCCCCACTCACAACTTTAGGTGGTTACTTTAAAATTATGATTACAGACAGATTTCCGATTATCAGCTTTAAAGTCTCGACAAATAGAAATCATCAGATTCAATCATGTCATCTGACTGTGCTTTCAGCTGATTTGACAAAGAACGCATTTGTAGAAACATTCGTAGTTCCTGTCAACATCACCATCCATCACTTGAAGACATAAAATTATCTAAGAAGGAATCTTATAATCAAGAAACCTTCCCTTTTCCTTTTCGTTTTTCCGCTCTGTGATCTGAATGATATGTTTTGTGAAGCAGCTGCAGCAGACAACAGTTATGATTTGGTGTTGTAATTAAATCACTGTGATACCACTTCATGTAAACCCTGCGCTCCTCCACCCTGGCAGTTTGACATTGGCAATGCAGCCACCCCTCCCTAGTTCATATTATCACCCACAAGAGGAATGCCGAGACTCCAGCTGCTCAAGGCACCGAAGAGGAGGAGAGAGGGATGAGGAATGGACTGAGGCTGACGCTCTGTTCCTATACCGCTCTAACAGGATAATCACACACACTCACACACATATGGACTCGTTTCAGTTTTATCAGGAGTGGGGAAGCCCGGTGTGACCTGCGATTCATCCTGTCACGCTTTTTGTTTCACATGATCTTTATTAATTACAATTTGTTTGAAATCTAAATTTGATCACAAGGATCGAGGCCAAGAAAAGACACATGACGCAGAAATAACAACGTTTAAATCTGACTTCAAACAGAGAGAAACGAAGACCTCACAGACATGAATAGGGGTATTTCCTCTCCACCAAAGTACAGCATGAAACCCTGAGCATTAACTGCGGTGAGGACTGCACACAGCACTTCAGAGGGGCATACTTCAGTCTGCTGCTGGCGTAAGGGCGGGTGTGGTTGAGGCAGGCAGCAGCGATGGCATTGAAAAAGAACAGAAAACAGCCAGCTTAGCTGTGCTGGAGAAAAAAAGTGCACCACATAGAACAGGGCCGTCCAGAATAAACTCTGTAAAGTCTGGGCAGGGTTTGAGTCAGAGGAGCGACGGGACGAGCCGCAGAGGCTTCGTCAGCCAGCGTCCACAGCGCTGCTGTGTGTACCATGTAATCAGGAAGTCGCAGAGATGGGGCTGCCTTGTCTGAGGCTCCCTCCAACATCTCCATCAGAGGCTGCCAGAAACGTGTGTGGTTTTAGCTGCTGCCGCCTCCGCAGGACGCAGCGCAGCGATGATGTCAGCCGAGCACACGGGAACTTTCCTAAACAAAGGGAAGTCTGTGTGGTTGGGGTGGTAGCTGGCGGAAAAGCAGGGGGAGGTTTGAATTTAGGTTTAAAGAGAACACACACTCTCTATTTCAGCTGGGGTGAACCCAGACCCCTGTCATTAAATCATTAGCACCTTCTCATGGACAAACACATGCATCGTGCACAGATGTGCAGCAGCGACACACTGGATGGGACTAAATGTTTTTTATTTTATTTCATTCCACTGCTGCATATAAATATAATATTTCTGCTTCCTTTTTCTGCTTTTTTATGATCGACAAAACACATGAGGAGACGACTCTATTAAACTGAACCTTTTAGCACTTGGTTGGAGAAACAAGCGTCATTCTGAGGAGAGAAACTATAGCTATATCCACATTTCATATATACTGACAGTATGCAGTATTCACTGTCATAGTACACAGTTTTTACAGTTAGTATACAGGAAATTGGGTTACTATTTGTTGTTACTATTTGCCAATTAAAAGGTTTGTCCAAACATTTAATAACTATTTTTTAGTTCCCCAGACTGTCTCATCACCATTTGCAACTCATTTGAATTTTCTCCAGCTGTGAGCAGCTCCTCCTCCTCATCCAAGCGTTTTAGCCTGTAAACTGACTCATATCTAAAATGATCGGCTGATTTTATCAGAATTAAAATGTCAGCCGATAGCAACAAGAAACTGCCGTACAGAAAGACCCACCGCAAAACCGTCTGCAGGCATTCTATTGGTGGACTTTAAGCAGCAACTGAAATTCCCTTAACCAGACATCCGAGTCCACCAGACAAGTAGTAGGGTAGACAGGCAAACCAATTGAGCATTTAATGACTAAAGCATGAACGTTACAGCAAATAATCTACATACCCCAAAGTTTTATTTCAGACATACAGGGCAGAGGAAAAGGAGCAGTACGAAACAACTTAAAACTTCAATAAAGTTCAAAGAACCAAAAGACATTATGTAGCTAGCTAGCACATTAGCAAACATTCTAGTCAGAAACTAGCATGCTAGTTTGCTCTGAACCACACTCTTTACTCCGGGTGGCTCTCTGCACATGTTGGTGACATGATGGTTTTCTCTGAGAAACAGCCAGCAGTCCTGAAAGAATTCAGTCCTGAGAAGTTTGTTGTGCATAAAAAAAGCAGCAAGTTCTCGGCCATGACACTTGACCACAACTACCCTGAGCTGCCAACCACCTTTCCAGACGCCTCACTGAGCTGGTACTCATGTTTTACAGAGATTACAGCAGTTCTGTGCGATCTATGTGTAATAGGAGCATAAAAATAAAACAAAATTGATGTAAACCGCCTTTAGGCCTTTGAAAAAGTGAAGAAAAATGAAATTTGACAGCCTGAAATTGTTCATCCTCTGCCCTGTCCCAGAGGTCAAATCTGAAAATCTGAAAATACTTCATGGTTTATAGAAACACTGGACAAACTTTCATGCTTTAGTCATAAAATGCACTATAGCCTTTAATATACAAGCTTATCTGCTGCACTAGTGGTTCTGTTAGCACTAACAACACCTTGGGAAGAGGCTTTTGAATGAAACCAAGTACCAGGGACTGGTCAGTAACAAGCCGGATGGAGAGGTCGGATGCAGCGGTTTTGCAGCCCAATCGCCCAGAGCCATCAGGTCATGGGTAATCGAGGGGGTGAGGAAGAGAAAAGCCATCTGTGGCTCAAAAGACGAGAACCACGGGGAGCAAAGTAGCTTACCTCCCATCTGGACAAGCTTGATCAGCCTGAGCTGGGTCACCTGGAGGAGGCTGTGCAATGACTCCAGGAACATCACTCAAGTCCACAAGCATCAGCCAATGAACTTGCACAGCTAATTATACTGTATGTGTGCAGTAATATAGAAACTGTTTGTCCACCAGAGGAACAAATATCGGACACACCGCCATCAACTTGGTCACAATGCTATCTGATTTATCGTAACCGTATTCTGTTATTTACTATTGATCAAATATCAATATTTGTATTGGCCACAAAAATCCAGTATCAGTCATTTTTACCACTTTCTCCATGTGGACACACTGTTTAAAGTTAGTATGCAGTATGGAATTGTGATACAGCTTATGTTTGTCCTTAAAATGGCTGCTTAGCTATGTTAGCGTTCTCTATTCATACTTAAGAGCTACGTTAGCTAACTGCTAACAACTCATTTTAAAATTTGATCACACCTGAAGGTAAAAACAAAAACTCTGCCTCCATATGTGACGAATGTCTGGAGAACTTTGATGAAACGTCAGAAGGTGTTAATTAAAGTGACAGCTCACTGTGCCCGACTCCTGGTTCAGACCCTTTATTTACTCAGAGACTGAGGTCAGCGGTGAGGAGGACTGGTTGGGGAGCAGATGGGTTTATAACCAAAACATATCTGCAGTTATCCACATTTTTTTTCTTGAGACTCGACCACCAGAGCTACTGTGGTTAGAGCTCATGACTCAGCTCTTACTGGCCGTGCTACATCACTCTGTAACTGTCTGCGCTGCATTCGAGAACGCAATGGAAAAGTTTGACTCACCCTCGTCTGGACAGGAACTGACTGAGCGGACCACTCTGTCTAATAGCAGACCTTTGGTATTCCATTCAGAAATGTGACATCTCTGAATAACAGAACAGCCAGGTCATCAAACACATGTCGCCCCAATCTGCTTTAACGCATGAGGTAGAAAACAGGAGAGGCGGGGTGCTGCAGGGTAAAGGGGGGCAGGAGGGTAAATGGGCCTCATGGCTGCAGCTTGTGTTGGTCTAATCATCACAGGAAACTGGGCAGTCTAGTTTGATGGTTCCCAACATGGGGTTCAGGTCCCTGAGGAGGTTGGGAGATAATAAAAGTGAAAACTAGTTTTTTTCTGCCTCAGCGCCAACGACAGTCAGAGCCGCCATATTGTTTTCAGGATGTCCATCCATCCGTCTCATTCTTGTGGACACGATATCTCAGTAACACCTTGACCGAACTTTTTCAAATTTGGCACAAACATTCACTAGGACTCAAGGATAAAATTATTTGATTTTGGTGGCTAAAGGTCAAAGGTCAAAGGTCAAGGTCGTGGTGACCTCACAAAATATGGTTTTAGCCTTGTAAACGCAATATCTCGAGAACTCATCAAAGTAATCCCTTCAAATTTGGCACAACGGCACACTAAAGGACTCGAACGGATTAGACTTTGGTGGTCAAAGGTAAAGGTCAGTGTGGTCAGCTATTACTCTAAGATTTCACACAGCAATTATGACAAAATGTTGCAGAAATGGTTCATATTTTATATGACTCTGGATAAACAGGGGTGTAACCTGAAACTAGTCTGAGTGGAGGAGGCAAGTATTCAAGTTTTTTTTTAAGGATTTCTGTTTTTTTCTTGAAAATATTCATGACACAATCCAAGAAGAGAAAATTAGTGTTTAGTTCAAGTGTTCACAATTTAATCTGCAGCCTGTGATAAGGTGTCTCAGGAAGACACTGATTTGTTTAAAGTCAGTAGCAGACCTGGATGACTGGGTGTCCTCCTGCCAGGGCCTTCACCGCCCCCCTGCTGCCCTCTGTCTCGTAGTGGGCTCGGTGGTGGGACTTGGGCTGCACCTCGATCTGCAGGCTGTACGGCCCAGAGCTGGATGGCAGCTGCCAGTCCAGAGCCGGCAGGGATGGGCTGTTGGGGGGGGGCGGGCGGGGGGGGGGGGGGGGGGGGGGGGGGGGGGGGGGGGGGGGGGGGGGGGGGCAAAAACATGTCCAACATGTCAACTCAACAAGGAGGGAGGAGAGCTTATTTTAGATGCACTTATCAAGGTAGAATGTGCAGAATGTGAAAATGTGAAACACCAGACACTGCGATAAAGTTGTTATGAAATAGCAAATATGCTTAAACTCAAATCTTGTTAGTAAATATACAATATGTGTCACATGCAGATTAATATGTATGCACTGAGAACTTCTAAAAAATACTTTAAGCATTTTTAGTTTTATGCTTCAATAATCTAGAGAGATGTAAAGAAAAGCTTCAGTCCGAACAGATATTGTTGGGCTTGCTTACCTCACATATTGCTTTGGCTTGGACCAAGAGTATGGGTGCTGCGGCACGTCCAGAAACCCGCCGCAGTAACCTTCCTTCTTTAGCGACAGGCGGTTGGATGGGTGCTCGTCCTCACAGAGCTGCCCTGGACTCAGCTCCTCGCCCCCCGGCTCCACCTTTAGGCTCACCGTGGGGATGTGCTCCAGGCTGGTTTTCCGGGCCTTCATGGGGATTCCCTCAGCGAGGTCAGCCACTCCGTCTGTGGTCAGGGCATTAATGGCTGCCAGGATGGCTGAGTTGGTGTACTGGTTGGTGTTTGGGAGCCAGGTCTCCTCTGTGATGCTGAGGCGTGGCGAGGTCTGCGGGGACGGTCCGGGGGAGTGGTTGGGCGAGTAGGGGTAGTGCTTGTGTGGCGCCCCGCTGCCGTTGAAGCTGTACTTCCTCTTTGCACCACAAGGGGAGTTGGGCCTGGAGCCACGCTGACCCATCCAGGTGTCATCTGTTATACTGGTGCGTGGAGAGGTGGAGGGGGAGTGGCGAGGGGATCCGCCAGAGGCACAGCCGTCACCTGGCAGGGCGAGGGTGGAGCCTTTGGGGGACACAGAGGGAGACTGCCAGGGGGAGTTCTGGGGGGAGTTGTCGTAGTTGTAGGAGAAGCCTGACTCGTAAGAGGAGGCGTCAGAGTGGCAGCTGCGAGATGAGATGCTGCTGGCCGGACTCAGGCAGCTGGGGTCACGGTAACTGTCGGCACTGGGGAGGGTCAGTGTCACCACGGAGTTGACTCTCTTGGTGACGGGAAGGCTGCTCTCCTCCACCTCATCCTCAGGAAACTGACCGTAGGCCGTGATCTCGATACGAGGGCTCTCCAGGGTCGGGGCTCCGTTTGGGCGGGTGCTCGAAGACGAGTAATAGCCGGCCCCCGTCATGTCATCCTGGGTGTCATAACTGTGAGGCTCGGTGACGGAGACAGATATGGTGGGGCTGGACTGGAGGCTGTGGTACTGGGAGGGGATACACGGGTTGCCCAGAGGGAGGGAGAGACTGACATTTGGCGTGTAGCCATATGCATCTGGAAGGCAAACAGATTGAGTTTGTTAGCACGATAATCAAACACACTCTTTACTTAGAAGGAGGCAGTTGCCAAGTGGAGTCTTGTGAGAGCTGTTGCCTATAATGGCAAAAGAACAGCGCGCCTCCTGCATTTGGCCTCAGCTGCTTCTCACTGCACAAAGTTTGCAAGTTAAACCTTAACGCCTCATCTGACAGGGGTTCCCTGAACACACCGCGGCCAGAGGCACACAGCGTCTCTGCATGGCTCAAACTTTACAAAGTAAATTAGGTGGGAGACACGAAGAAAGGAGCCAAAAATAACTCCAGTCTAAAAATAACCAAAGGCAAAAACCAGGTGGGTTTTTTTCCACTTCTCGTTGCCAGATTTCTGCCACTTAATGCCCATAAACTACAACATGATGAAAACACACACCGCTGCTTTTGTTGGCCGGTTTCAAAAATAAACAGAGGAGGGACATGATTATTTTATTTGCATGCTGTAAAGGTGCACGCTGTACTCTGCAAGGGGGGGGGGGGGGCTGATGGTCTCATGCCAACACTCCCGATGGCTCAAATGAAATTCTGCCCGTCTGTGGGTGAAGAGCTGAGGTCTCAGGCGCGGGAGGGGGGGGGAGGCATGGGAACAGGAGTTGTGGTTCTATGTGACCACAGTGGAGCTCAGTGATACGGATGGAGACGACAGACAGATGCAGTCACCAGCTCCTGTCTGCTGTGAATTAAAGAGAATTAGGGGCCCCGACCATAAAGAGCATGACGTCAGTGCTGCACCACATGACTCCTGCTAATAAAAGAAAATGATGCTCAGGTTTAATGTGACACAGTAGCACTGAATGTTTGTTTTCTGCTGTGAATTAGCTGAGATCTTCGGAGGGGGGTGGGGTGGGGGTGGTGCTTTCACTCACAATGTTACCCACAATGCCATGTCAGTCATTAGCACACGTTCAATTCTGACTATTTTGGGACACACTTTTCAGTCATGAGAGGCCACGCCCACCTCGCCCTGATCAGCAGGGAGGGGCGCGCGCTATATCTCCACTACTGCTTTTTTAATACTAACACTAACTGCAACACTCCATACAGGCATTCAGCAGGGTGGCGGGTTTGGGGGGGGGGGGGGCAGCTAAGACCCTAATACAGTTTAACACAACTCTTCAATGTGTCGCATCCGACTGCAGAAAGTCAGACACTGATGAGAAGTTCAATAAGCGCCACGTTAATAGTTGAGCTGTCTCTGTGATGAACAGAGTCAGAGAATAAAAGTCAAACTCACCCTCCTCAGCTGATTTCATCTTCGTCTTCAGGCAGAGAGAAACGTCTGAGATCAAACTGTGAGAGCAGCTGCAGATGGGAGCGACTCTTTATCCATATAGCGGAGTTTAGATATTTCTATATTTATAATCCTCCAGCTGTTGCTCAGGATCCTCTGTCTCTGAACCACCGCGAAACAAACCAGGATGAGAAATATATAGGCTATGTAAGAAAAAACTTAGTTGAAAAACAGCTGCTTCGATTTCAAACAGGAGAAAATCCAAAATGAAAACGTCAAATCGAGTCGCGTCTGAAATATTAAAACATGTGGAGTAAAGTCATGGCTGATGCAGAAGAAGCTGCTGTCGCCGCCGTGCTGAGGTGTCTGACTCCGGGTCTGTGTGTCGGGGGATCCTGGCGGTGCTGGGTCGCTGTGACGCACTGCTCCGGCGCACACCGGACCTCTGCGCTTTTAAACCCGGGGATCACCTCGGCGGCGGCGGCGGCGGCGCACCGCCCCCCCCCCTCCACCTCCAAACTCTGACGCATCTGCGCGCGTACCGACCACCAGATGGGGTCCAATGGAGATCCTCTCTTCTACACCGGGGTTTCCAGAGGAGAAGAAGGCTAATTAGCGGAGCTGGCAGTGAAGCCTGAAGGATGAGTAAAGTGGAGTGATTGGGGGGAAAAACGTCCTACAGAGGTGCTGCTAAAGTCTATCCAGCAGAGAACATCCTGCTGAGTAGAGCCTGTGGATGACGGTGCATGAGACTCCAGGATCTGATAGTCCTTCTTTGGAATCACAAATAATCATCTTATCAACAGGAAACAAAACAACAAATACATTTTTGAACCTTATTATATTAGTTCTACACCATATTTGTTTTTTTGAATTAATTGGGGGAGGAGCACACAGTACTTACTTCAAACCCTCTGAGGTCTAAGGGCATTTTCTCGATTTCTACATTATTTCTTAAATTCACCATTGGTACTTGCATATAACATAATTATACTTACCCAAGTGTTTTACATCATAATTCTCAGAACAATCTCAGTTCTTTCTATAATGAGGTGCCTTGTTGTCGTGGAGCAAAGAGATAATTTGGCCCAAAAGCTGAAGAATTGAAGCCTGGTTTCTGAAATTCTTCAAATCTCTTGTGAAAACAAACTTTTACTGATGTGGATGGATTGTTGTGTCGCTTGAAACGAGTTTACAAAAGTTTTAGGTTCATAAAAATAGCACAACATGTGAGTAAAATAGTAGATAAATACCTAACATGAAATTTTATAAAATCGCTGAGTCGTACTGTTGTCTTCTCACTCTACTTTAAACAAAATGTTAGTGTGAATCATGTACGATCTCATAGGGGAAAGTGGAGAGTCTAGAGATTCTAACACGATTTAACCCGTAGTTCTATGCTGTATTATCACAGAGACATCAACAGAAACATCCATCGACCTCAGAGGGTTCATGATTGGCTGTGTTGTTTCATAGTTTTCCATGCAGGTAGGCAGAGAAGACATGTCTGATTTGTGTTGACAGGAGGGGTTACTACCTGCATTGTTGGTCCTTGTTGGAAGCATTTTGGAGGGAAAACAGTTGTTTGAATTTTTGCTTCAATAGAAGTTGTTTTCATATTTTTGTTTGTAGTCTGGGGGAGAGATTGGTTCTTGGTCCCAATGTTTTGCAGTGTTGTATTGTAGTGTAGGAGGGTTTCATCATTTTGGAAATGAGTTCCCCTTTGGGTTCCTTTGACTTTTTTGTTTCCGTAGTGCTGCAGTAAACTTGGTCGGAGCTGCTGCTCAGGAGCACAGCTGTACTTCAGGGAGTCGCCAGATACTGGTCGTTTTCCTGCACTATCAGGAGTTGGTGCATAAGGAGCCGCCATTGAACTGCATGACGACGAGGGTTGAGTTTCTGGTTTGGGCTTGTAACTCAAACATGATCAATGACTGACTTAATGGGCATGAGCAGCATTAATCTGCACTTTCCACCCACTTTATCTACAATATCTGTTCCCCTGGCATCATGTACAAAGCAGTCATCAGTGTGCTGCTGTAAGACACTGCATGCACATGGAATCTCCTAAATCAAGATTTATGTGCAGACAAATCCTCACAAGCATTTTACATTAAACTGCTGCCACTTCACCCTGAAGGAGCTATTCATCAGCCGGTTACAGCAGGCGGATGTGAATGTTCAGTTAGAGGCTGCTGGGTCGTCAGGTTGCAGCTGGAGCAGCAGCAGATACAAGGACAGGTGAGCTGAGACGTGCCAGAACACAGAGCTGAAGCCCTGATCCAGGAGACATGTGTAAAACATAAAACTTCCTTCACATCTTGTATAGGCGTCTCACGGGGTTTTGAAGTTATTGCAAAGGCAAATAATTCCTTTTCCACTTCTTCCTGACAGACTGCACGTCTGCGGGGCACAAAACACATAATTATCCATACTTGCATAGAAGCACTATATAAAAATCACGTCCTATACCCAGTCATTTGACACGCCGAACTGAGAATCTTCATAGAGTTTTCCGTAGGCCGCTCTCTGCGGTCGCTGTATACTTATTCGGCTTCTCTCTCGTCAGCGCCGGGCTGCTGCTATCTTTGGCAGGTCTGGACCTTTCAGCAGCTGGCAGCCGGCCCGCGCTCTCTGTGATGACAATAGTCACATGGTGACTTGTGAAGAGGCTTGTCCATCCCTGGAGGTGGGAATCCACTTCACAGCACTGCAGAATCTTATCATCTGGCCCTAGTTGGTGTGAAACCTTAGTGGTGTCACGCCACTACCACTCTCAGCTAGGGGGCATTTAAATCATTTAAAGGTCATTTTCTGTGGAAGCCTATAGGGGACTATATTCAAATGATACTGTAATTCCAGTTAACATTTCAAATTTCCACATATGTATGTGTTATTTGGATAAAAATGAAACTGAAAATGCAATTAACCAATTTGCATTTCACATGTCAGCACTGGTGCCCACACTTGCTGCAACTCTGCTGTGAACTGGGATCAGAATAACCAGTCTTATTGTATTGTCACTTATTGTTAAAAATTTTAAATATTTCAAATCTTAACTCTGGCAATTTCCATTGAGTTGTACTGATAAAAAAAACACCTATTTACTGTGACAGTAATACATTTAATTAAAAGACCTAAATCATACCAATCCACGCACATCACTTATTAGAATTTAAGAAAAAAAACATCTTGTTTCCTCACATTAGCAAGTAAAAAGTCTTCAAGTCTTTAAAAAGACTGACATCTAGGCCCAATCCCACTTCTCTTTTCTCCCTTACCCCTTCCCCCACTGCTTGTCCCTTGCCCCTTGGAACTGAGTTACAAGGGGAAGTGGTGGAAATCCACCTGTACGAAATAAAATTGCATTTTCATTTTAATTTTGACCCCAAAAGAGTGTGTAGACATGTAAATGAAAATGCAATAGATGTTTTGCAGATTGCATTTTAAATATTGTCCATTGTAAACCAATTTAAGACTTTGAAAATGAAATGTCACATGCAACGTCATTTTCATTGTGACCTGAATATTGCTTGCCAATTTGTAAAATTAGGTTAAATTGTTTATATTACATTTTAATTTTCAAATTTGAATTAACAGTTGAATATTGTCCACTGTGCAGCAAACAGCTTTTCCATTTTCATTTTAATATGGTCCTAGAATGCATACATATGTGGAAAATTAAAATGCTATTGTGGAATTACAATATCATTTGAATATAGTCCCCTATAGGCTTCCATATGTTTCCTCATTCTAAAGTATTTAGTTTTTTGCCGCAAATTCTACTTCCTGTTCGTGTTTCTGCTCCCCTGTGTGTTTTCCATGGTTGAATGAATTGGTAAAATTATTATACATCTACTATTTCTCATGCAGATCTGCATTAGAAAGAATAAAAATATTTTCTACAACAGGTGATTCCTGCAAATGAGTGATGGGAATTCCAGCTCTTTTCAGTGAGCCAGATCATTTGGCTCAGCTCACAAAGAAGAGCTGGCTCTTTCGGCTCCCAAGCGGCTCTTCATTTTGACCAATTCTGCCCTTTATAATTCAGCCAAATTTAGCGCTGTTTTGACCTATAATTAGTACGTGTGCACATATGTCACTTAAATTATTCAATGTAATTATACTAAACCTTATCATTTCCATAATTTTACATTATGTTTGGTATGAAAAGATTAAATGTAAAAACATCAAACTCTATTAGTGTATTAAACGTTTTATTTATACTGAACATTGTAGTGTTTCGCTACGAACACTAAACAGACAGTGCATCTGGTCCTTGTACATAAACATATGTCACAATTGTAATGCTACTGTGATGTCCATATAAAATAAAATAAATAAATAATAGACTATCCGAAAAACAAATCATTCAGTCACACTCATCATGGAGTGCCTGGCCGTGGCGCGGAGAAGATCATCTTATCATTCTGCCTTGTATTAATTTACAAAAAAAAAAAAGCTCTTGGACGGGAGCCGGCTCCCATCGTTCACTTAAAAGAGCTGGCTTGTTCACAACTGACACATCACTACTGCAAATTGCTCTTGTGTTTAGGAGAATTAATGAGGCAGCACATCAAACTACAATTCTGGGGCTGAGTTAAGGCTTCCTTGAAATAAAAACAGTTGTACAAAACACCCTTAAGTTTCATCAGTGTTCACTTACATATTCAATGTTTTCTCCTTACCTTAGCCTTATACTTAAGGAATCACTTAAAGTCAGCTCAACTGTGGCACAAAAGACCTTAGCAACCAAAGTGAGGAAAAAAATGACTTCTGACTCTGTCTTAACTGCAACAGGACTGAGTTTATGGTGATAAATGAAGACAGTGAACGCATCCCAGGAAAATGATGATGATGACGTATGTGTTAACGACGCAATAGAATCTTACCGCTGTATAATCTCTTCCACTGTCGCAAATGCCTTAGAGTTAGGTTTCCTTAACTAAGGAGACATTTGAAGAGATTCTGTGCAACACCCTTAAGTAGCCCCTTAATCATCAGCTAAGGAGAAACTACACCTTAAGTATTATACTTAAGTAGAAAACTTAAGATGTTTTGTGCAACTGGCCCATGGTCCTTGAA